TACCATCATGATGTCCTCATCATTTCAATACAGGAGTCATACTACAAGAACCTTAAAATTAAAAACAAATTTTACAACAAGCTCATAAGTTACTTTTCCCTAAGGTCAGAAACATACAGGAATAACTCTGACTAATTGTTGATACCAAAGGCCAAATCAACTTAGACGGGGCTGTCTGCCATCAAAGTATCTATTTGGTACAGTTGTATGCATGGACAAGCTGTTCTGGCATTCTTTGAAATGCTCTCTCAGCAGCCAGTTGCTGATTTCCCATATGCCTGCAAGCTGACACAACTCCCGTATGAGCTTCCCTTCAAAATTGGCACCTTGATCCTGTTGACAAAAAAGTTGTGGAACAATTTGTTGTTCTGGCTGTCATATTCTTCGTGGGAAAAGCCTGTGCATAGCGGGTAAAATGATCCGTTAGGACTAACACGTTGAAATCCGCCTTTTGACATTTCCAATGTGAGGAAATCCACACAGATCAATTCCAATGGTTGTGACGTTTTGATGTTAATGAGGGGCGCTCTTTGATTGGTTGGAGTCTTCCGTCGAATGCAGCGTTGACATGACCGTAACCACTCCACATCCTTGGCCACAGCGAATGACCAATGATAATGTGCGAGGATGTCCCACGTCAGTGTGTAAAAACTTCAATACACGGCGAATGAAAGAGGATGGAAGGACGAGTTGGTGAAACTGCTGTCCGTCTTGCATGGTTTGTCTATACAGCACACCATCTTCTAGCTTTAGATGGTGGATCGTCTTCAAGTACATGAGCTGCTCAGGACTGAGGTGGTGACGTCCTAACTTCCGACCATCCTTAATAGCTCTGATGATGGGCTGTAGCGTTGGATCCTGACCCTGAACTTTTCTCCAGTCTCTGGGTGTCATCTGCTGCATGCTATCCAAGTCTGACACTTCATCAATAGAGATGTTCGCAATCACCTCGGCATGGGCATTAGACTGGATACTGGCACAAATCATCTTAATGGAATCCGATGAAATTTCATATTGCTCCCGATCTTCCGAGTCCTCTGGAATTCTGGATAAAATATCCACATCAGTGTTTTTCTTCCCTGGGCCATACTTGATGGTGAAATCATAGGAACTCAGGGCAGCAACCCATCTGTGACCCGTTGCATCCAGTTTTGCGGTGGAAAGGACGTAAGTCAATGGATTGTTATCAGTGTAGACCGTAAACTTTGCTCCATATAAATAATCCGAGAATTTATCCGTAATAGCACACTTAAGGGCGAGAAACTCCATCTTGTGGGCGGCATAATTCCTACTGGCATAGCTTATAACTCGTTGTTGACAGTCCTGGTGCTGATACAGTATGGCCCCAAGTCCTTTGGAACTAGCGTCAATATGAAGTTCGAATGGAAGTGAAAAATTAGGAAAAGCCAATATAGGAGGAGACGTGAGAATTTCCTTCAACTGGTCAAAAGCGTTCTGCTGTTCCGAACCCCATTTCCAAGAAGCAGGTGGAGCTTTCGTAGCTTTCTTCTTACACTTCTTATTAGTGGGCGGTAACAATTCGTTAAGTGGCTTAGCAATGGAGGAAAAATTCTCAACAAACTTCCTGTAATATCCTGCGAATCCAAGAAACTGTCGTAGTTCTTCAGGTGTTGACGGTACCTTCCAATCCTTAATCTTACTCACTTTCTCTGGATCAGCTTCCACACCTTGTTCTGATACCACAAATCCAAGATATTTTATACGGGAGTGGAACAAGAAACATTTCTTGGGGGAAAGTTTCAAACCGTGTTCTCTAAGGCGTTCCATAACTTGACCAAGGCGTTCAAGGTGTTCTTCGAAAGTTGCTGAGAAAACTACCAAGTCATCAAGGTAGATGAAGCACAACTTTCCTATGTAGTCGCCGAGGCAGTCCTCCAAGAGGCGTTGATAAGTCGCCGGTGCATTTACTAAGCCGAAAGGCATACGATTATATTCCCAGAGGCCCAAAGGTCCAACTGTGAATGCCGTCCGTTGTTTGTGTTCTTCTAGCACCTCTACCTGGTGGTACCCACTTTTCATGTCAAGCACTGTAAAGTACTTGGATCCATGCAACGCATCAAGTATCTCGTCAATCCTAGGCATGGCGTAGGAATCCTTAATTGTCTTACTGTTAAGTTGTCTGTAATCAACACACATTCGTAGACTGCCGTCTCTTTTCCTGGCTAATACTACGCAAAAGGACCACGGCGAATGTGACCGACGAATAACTCCACATGCAGCGAGCTGTTTAAGATGATCTCGAACTTCTTCAATCATTGCTGGAGGAATTCGGCGAAATCGCTTTGCAAATGGTGTCGTATCTCTCAACTCAATTCTGTGTTGTACATCAGTGCAGTGGCCAAGGTCTAAATCACATGAAGAAAATATATCCTCAAACTGCTTAAGGAGATCCTCAGTCTTATTAATTTGCTCCGAGGTTAAGTTGTCCATGTCCAGCATCAGCTAACCAACTAGTGAAGGCATCCTTAGATTCAAGGTTAGGCTTAATGTCCAAATCTTTAAAATATGCCTGTAGACGAGTGATGTCATCTTCGGAGAGTGCCATGTTATTTAAATTAATACTTACCAACAGTAAGATCCAGAGTATTTCCAACAGTCAAATTAACATTTAAGATATTTAGGAAAACAATAAAACTAACACAAGTAAACATGCATAGAAATCCAAAAAGGGTCCTGAAATTGAAAACAATTCTAACTACTTCACTTGAATCTCAAAATACTGATAAATGAGCAAACAACAAAGTCCAAATCTAAAAAAAAAGAAAAGTCCTGGGCTTCTTTCAAAGTTAAATAAGAAATTTAAAGTTCAAATCAAACTCAGAAGTTCAAGACCAAATTCAAAATTTAAATCAAAATTAAAATTTGTCAAAGTTCAAATCCAAATTCTTAATCAAAATAAAGATTCGGGGTGAAATGGAAGTCCAATAAACAGATCAGGTACACAAGTATGAGGGAACAGCTAAATAAACAATAAACAAAATCAAAAGTCAAAACAATCTGAACAATTCAAAAAAAATTTTTTGTTTAATAATTGTGAAATCTACCCTGAAAATAGAACAAAGTATTCAAAGCGAACACACAAGTCAATGTCAGCTAGTAATGTAACTGTCAAATAAGTCTAAGTCTATTAGTATAGTGCAGGCAGGGTATAAGTGACTTAGGTAAAGATGAAAGGCTAAGAAATATACCAGAGGCTTGAGGGAAAAAAATAATAATTATAAACTATCCTACAAAACTACAAGTCTAACAACTTTAGAATAGCAACAAGTAAAATAATTAAATTAATAAACTATTACTTTTAAGGTAAATTAATTTTATTCCTACTTATTCCTTTCAGCTTTTTAAAAAAAAATATACTATTAGTATTGAATATCTATAAATGAAAATGGGCTGTTTTGGGGATGAGTGTACTCACCAAGTGGCGTTTCTCACTTTCTCCACGAAATATTTCCAGCAGAAAATCACAATATATTCTTTTTTAAATAATTTCCTGATGGCATTCGCACTCAACACACAAACACAATATTTTATTTATCACAAAATTAAATGAATAAATCGAATGTCAGTCTGTCGAAGAAATCTTCACTTCGAAAAACAGGTGTTTTTGCAGGAAGTAGCCATGGGATCAAGGTCGCCGATTACACGTGATCAACAATTGGATCATATATGTCAATCGGCATTGCAAGCACATAAATGGGAACGTTTAAACAAATAGCACAATTCAGCAATTCGGAAAGTCATTTTGCCGCTATAATATTAACCTGCTACATTTTATTCTCATATATACGGAGAATTCATCACATTTCCACTATATAATATATCATGTTACCTTCATATCTTGTATATTTTCTTTTTTAGCGGATTCATTTAATTTATATGTATATTTCTTTTCCAACAAAATAGAATGATTGACATATTATTGAACATAAAAAGTGCATGTATATAGGACATATAAAGGCCTTTTAACTCCTCATCAAATCAAAGTTTGTCAGTGTTTATATCAGTATAAACACAAGACTCATTATCATAGTTGCTATTACGAGGTACATATACAATTAATGACTTCACGCTACGCCGTAATACATCAGTAAAGCTACCAACACTTATTAATATCACCTTGAGTAACAGACTCTGGTACCACAATAGCATTATGTAAATTAGTTTCATTTATAGACGAGAAATCTGAATAGGTTTCATTAATTTCATCCAATTATAGACCAGCTTTCGATGGCTACTCACATAGAAGTTATCATTAAGCGAAATAATTTGACGAGTCAACTTGGACTTGGACAAATCTGCGACGAACTCTACTAACAGAATCAGCATGGTACGAAGAAAGTATTACTGTTGATATTTTATGTAACGGTGATCCAAATATATCAGCAAATGACAATGTAAAATGGCAAAGGCTTAACAGGTCGGATAGTGTCGACTGACACCTAACTTTATTTCTATTTAACCCAACCCCCACCTTTTTTATCCTTTTTTTTGTCTCTTACTTTAATACTATAGATGTTACCCATGTGTGTGACTATTTTTATTGTACTATATCGTATATCGTATATATATTGTTGGGAGAAGTCGATCATAAGTTGGTAAAACTTACAGACCAATCCCTTTGACATGTTATTTTGTCAATAAAATATGTTTAAACTCAAACTCAAACTCAACGGGGCATGATCAGGAAAGACGTTGAAGGAAGCTTTGTAAGCTCCTCCGATAAAAGCATTCAGGAAACAAAACAAGCAAAAGATGCGGAAAACTTCAAAATTCTGTGAACCTGGCATGATCAATTTCATTGGTTAAAAATCCAAAAACATTTTTATATGATTATTTATGTAAGTAAATATCATAATACACTAACTATGTGCAGTCATGAAGAGATAAGGATATCAAACTCATACCACTAGTGTTCCTGTAACAGTGCAAGTCCTTACTTCATCTTCTAGTACAGTTAGACGGTAATCCCAAGGTCTTATCTATGAAAGATAAGTTTTCACAGAACCCCGGATGATCTGGCGACATATTGGACATTTCACTACCGCAGATGCACACTCAACACAACAGCAAATATGTCCACAAGGAAGAAATGCAATAGAAACAACACACTCCATGCATATCTTACATTTCATCTGTTGTCTAAGTTGGCTATTTTCCTCCCTTAGTGACGTCAGGTCTGGAGATAAAGGACGAACATACCATACAATATAAAACAGTACATGTCTCGAACAAACAATTAAAAAGACAAGTCCAAATCTGTATATCATACAATTACAAGTTATTACTTACTAACCACACATATTTTTAATTTAAAAATAACACTATTAGTGGAAGTGTAAAATGTACATATCAAATACAGATCTATTTTTATTATTATTTGTCCCACCAAAGAAAAATTAGCAAGACTTTATTTTCTTTTCAAAAGTGGTTAATGGTGACCTACGACCCTTCAACACTGACCAGTGACCACAAAAACTTATAAGCTGTACAATTTAATATTGTGATAATATGGTGTTAATATAAACAAAATAAGGTCAGTTCTCGAGATATCTTGTTTTCAGTTTTCTTATTAAAATTGGTCAAATGTGACCTTTGTGGTCTCTGACCTTTACCCTTGACACCAAAGACATCAAAATCTATTGAGGTTTAGAAATGAAAGATGTAATACTGTGAAGTAAAATTGAGCCAAATTTGTCATAGGTTATATCTTGAATATTTGATATTATTATCAATAATATTGTTAAGTTGAATTTTAGCCTTTCCAAAAAGAATAACGCAATAATGATTGATCATAGTTGTTACCTTCTTCCGTATATTGATTAGCGAGGTTGCCTCCTAAAATAACATAAAATGGAGGTTAAATATGCAAATATTAAATAAAATATTGGCAATGTGATTACTGAAAATATAATCTGATTGCATACAATACCTTATTTCAAAGTAATTACTTATATCACTATACATTGGTTATAGCTTTATTACTTTAACAAATCAATAGGTTTCATAAATTTTCATTTCTTTGTGTTATGCATTTCCAAAAACGGTTTGCTTTTTTAATGTAAGAGCTTACAATCTATTAAAGATACCTCTAAGTCTATTTCTTGGTACCAAATTTTCAGACATTTTCCCTTCGTTTGGTCCAGCTGCCTTGTTTTCGACGACAGAAGTGTCACTGGATTGGGGGGAAGAACTCCTTGCTTCATGATGTGGTACCTGCTCGTTGGTAGAGCCAGCCTGTGTTTGATTTGATGTATCTGTAAGAATTTCATCACCGAAGTTAAATATTTTTTCCAATAGTGACGACGCAGTCAATTCTACTGGACCTTTAAAAAGAAACAATCAATAGCCAATACTATTGTATCTGTATAACTCGATCTGATAGAAATTACACGACAGAACATGTGTATTTCATTGGTGATTATCAGAACCCCAGATCATGTAAATAATAAAAAAAATATATTTAGTCGCAAGAGTCTGAATATTGATAATATGTAAAATATTTCATTTAAATGATTGCGGAATTAAGCTGAATTGCGTTGGACACCAGTGGATGTAGGAAGCCAGATCTCATTTATACACCATTAAGAGACATACCAAACAGCAAATTGAAATCAAGTTCAGTATAATAAATAAAGAAAATACCGTCATGTCAGTAGAATGTTAATTCGTATCCGATGAAACTAGGGCCAAACATAAACAATGTGCTGTTTTCATGGAAACCCTTGGGAATGTATAGTGGAAATAAGAAAATGTTTTATGGTAGAGTAAGCGTCTTCTGTTTCATTGACACGAACTGCCTTATAAATCTTGGTCAATCCAAGTAAGTAATGCCACGAACAAAGTTAATAACAACGGAACCAACAGGCCTCCTAATACGTGCGATTTCACAATGTATATGGTAATTACAACAGTCAGAAAGCTTCCGCATTATCTTCAACCTCCCGAAACCATTTTTGTAATTGTTTTGGGGGAAAGTAATTAGAAATCTGTTCAACTGCGACATGTAAACACCATAGGTTGAGGAGGCAGCAATGTTTTTTTAAAAAAACTATAAATTAACGATAGAGAAATAAAAATCACCACGCTTGGTGGAAGATTGTATAAAAGACACAAGTAAATAGCACCTTTTCGTAATTCAGAGTGAGATCAAGTAGAGCCAAACAATGAAGTTGTTGGGAAATATACTAATTATTGCAGTTTGGCTAACGAACCGTTGAAATATAACCAATTGGAGGAAAATCGCGTGATGACTGTACATACCTATGTAGTCATATCATGCCGAATGTTGAGCATGTTCTTCACATCAGAATCCAGGAGAAAAGTCGTATTTGATTTTAGTTTGGACTTGAAGCTGCCAATGTGCTTTGACTACTATATGTTTTGCCAACTTTCTGGTGTAACAGTATATAAAAGCCATCGGTTTGCTGAAGTTCACACATCTTTTTTCATAATATACTTAAGTAGATAATATATATATTAAGTAGTTCTACATGTATCGAAATCGAAACAAAAATGCATTCAATATTTTAAATCACTGGTTACAATTTTCCAACACAGAAACGCTGAAAGATGTAGCTCACAAATGGCAAGAAACATCCCGACAACTATCTATATCGTAGCTAACCTGCCCTCTCCGTGACCTGGTGATCTGCACGAACTGCTGCCTGATTGGATGTGGGTGCTGTGCTGCTTTGCATGGTCGCATTACTAGTGGTATCGGTACTGGACTGCGAGACTGTTTGCATCGTTGCCGTCTGAGGTGTGGCATTTTGTCCAGTTCCAGATTGTCTTGTGTTGATGTACTCATTTGGAAGCGTCTTCAAAAGAATGATACAGCAATATGTTCAAAATACATGAACAATTCCGGTAAACGTTTCACTTTGTCTATCAAACGAATTAACTGTTTATCGCGATTTTAACTGGCTGAATGTACGAGGTTGTTTGCGTGTTTTATCATATATGGTTTTTTTTCTTTTGCTGAAGTTTATTTTTTTCTGTCTAGATTACCCATGATTGCGAATACTCTCAATTTGAATGTGTCATTTCAAACTTCTCAAAGAAGGGATTCCATTATTGGAAATCACACGGCCAATCAATGATGAGTAATTTTTGCAGGGAAATACTTTAATATTCTCTTTCCCTATTTTCCTATTTTATGTTCGTTCGTTTCCTCTACTTATGCAGCATCAGTATCAACGCAAAATCAGATGAAATTATAACCACCACACCATCTGGTAGATAGAAAATACACAGACAATACTGCATTCCCTTAAACATGGAGACAAATGCTTATCTACGTGACCATTTGAATAATCAAGACACTGTATTTCATAATAGGTTCTGCTCTCACCAAAGCTTAGCGTCACTTTGGTTTTGTTCTGTATCTGATTTTTTTACGCTTACCAGTTCTCTATGTCTCTGGAGTACCAAGTTGATGAAAGTTTGACCTTTGTTTAGCTTGACGAAAGTACAGCGAGGAAACCAGCGAGCATGCTCCACCCAAGGATCATCGCCAGGCTCCCAATTTCTCAGTCCCCCTCCACAGAAGAAGCATCTTACGTAGTCTTCATATCCTTAAAAGTCACATTGTAAAGCATGACTATATATTATATCCTCTATAGTTTTTGTTGTCTTACATGACTTACTATCATTGAATACTTGATCTCTACCAATGTAAAATAACGCTTAGACAATAATCACTAAAAGTCGGATTAATTGTTGCAGTATTCGTCTTTTTGTATTTAATACAATAATCTGTTGAGCATTGATATTCCTTGTTGTAGCAATACAGAAAATTGCCTGCAAATTTCATCCTTTTAAGAAAACCATTATTGCTGTAACAATTCAACATTAAATTAGAATACACATTGAAACAAACCTGTTTCATTTATATTACTGCCAAAGTTCTTCTTCCAGTGGCATAGCAATTTTAACGGTAAATATGCAATAGGTGTGCCTACTCCCTTGTGTATGACGACGATAAAATCCATAACAAGACACTTAAATGTTTAACTGTTGACAAAAAACGTTTCAAACTATTTCATAACTTTATCTAAACACATAGATATTGTCATTAAACTCAATAGCAAATTACCAACCTGCATAAAAGAATCCTGCTCTGCCCATCTCCAAAGGTGTCTGATCTAAATGATTGGGAAATCCATTGAATGTACCTGATCTCATTTCCAAAGCAGAGTAGTTTGGGTATCGAGGCCTTGCTTTCGTTACTCCGAGATTGTTAAGGTTCATTGCAGCACCGTTAGCTATCACTTGACCTGATTGCCGTCCTTCCTGTTCCGGCTGGCCATGTGGTTGCTGTTCCTGGTAACGATGTTGTAGACGCTCAGCCAGTGTAGTCGGCTGCTGTTGATTCAACGACCGCTGCTGATCAACTGTTTGTCCAGACCGTTCTTGGTTACAAGGAGGTTCAATATGTACTTGGAAGGTTGCTTGCATGGACGTAGACACAGCTGAGTTGGGAATGGCGGATCCTTGTTTTTGGTCGTTACTCGCTCCTTCTTTTTTCTGCAAGCCCGAGGTTGTTGACGTATTAACATGTGTCGATGCGAATAAACTATCATGTGTTGAAGCTGTCCCAGCCTGAGGGAAGGAATCGTCGACAGATGATGTCGCTGTCTCGGTTACTGGATGTGCAGGCATGCTGTCATGTCCTCGCTTTATGGCTTCCATTTCCGATGACAAATGCGATCTCTGACTGGATTCTAATTCATTCATCACATTCTTTGGAGTATTGCATGCCTGGGATCCAAGAAATATTGACGTTACGGTCTCCGGTGTCGCCAGTATTGATGTGATTGCAGTTTCCTCTACGCGATCAACCACTAGATCATCTAAGGAATAATTTTTTTAAACTGAAATACCAGTAGAAGTCGGTAGAAAAAAAATCACTGAAAAAATGCGTGTGCTTATTTACAAAATCTATGTGCCAGGACACTGAATTTGGGATGCGAACTACAACTCAATAAAATATAAATCTGTCATGACCCATTAAGAACTCAAGTTAAATCACGTTGTATCATATCGTGTTAAGATAAGATGTTAACTTATATATATTAACCAAAACCTGTTTAAAACTATATAAAAGAATATATATTGAACCCAGATATACCATGAAATGTGTAATGATGTTTATTTGAAATAAACATCTTAATGCATACATCCAATATAAAGACGAAAGTGAATTTGTTGAGGCCCTTTCAATATGATAAGGACCAAAGGAAAATATTATCCAACATTTTGATAACCATTTCAAATAAGGATCTGCATTTAACCTTTATTTTCAGAGTACGTGTGGTGATTGATTTATACATTTTGTTTTCATGTTGATAACTGAACTGATGTTAACGGTATGCATTTGTATATGTTAAAGGTTTGGACAAAATACTTCTGTCTTACATTTTATAACACATTCCTTGCTTACATCTAAACGTAATCAATGATACTAATGACCAGCTTTACTTCCATATCACAAAATGTAACTGGTGTTGATATATAGATATATCCATTCCACACGGGGCATTCCGTACTCCCAAGCGTTGAGAATCACGCTGAAAACCGGGAAAGTATGGACGGTAGAATCCTGCATGGATTGCGAATCTATATATATGTATATAAGGCCCTCAATAATGGTCGAAAACCATCCGAGGTTGTTGTATGTTGTATGAAAGATGGCGATTTACATATAATAAAACGTTGTGCACGGTAACCACTGAGCGTATATGTGATCGCAGTGAAACAAATTGTGTCACACTCCAAGGAAAGGAGTTTACCGGTACATATATATATATATAAATATATTCCAGTAATATGCATCCAAGAAATATTTGTTTGTAAGGATCTAATACCGATATTGGACCATGCCGTCGATTTTACTGGATTCTATATATATCACTGGTACAATTTCGATAGGTTATTCAAATCTGAAACCTTCGGATCAATATACATTACTGTATATGATTTTTTGTGTTAATTAATTGATAACCAGGTGTTTATATCACATATTGGATATGAAAAAATGACTGTTGAATGCGTATTACTGCAAAAGATATGATCAATGAAGTAATAGCGACAGTACGAACAAATGAAGTGTCAAATTTTCGATGCATTCTGCCAATAAAAAATAGGATTATGTCTTGATAAAGGGGCAGATTTATTAAAAAAAATTGACATGTCACTTGTCCTTACTGTTGTTATTACTTCATTGATTATTTACAATGTATATATCAATTTTCGAACTGTCTAGAATAACTTATGTCAGCATTCATAATATGCGAGACGCACAAAGCAATCAATGTTAAAAACAAAGTTTTAAACAGTATTAAGTCTTTCATCTGGACCACACATTTTCTAAAGAATTAAACTATGATATCGTTTTGATAATGTTCGATTTCAGGTAGCAGGACATATATGACTTTATAAGTACCGTTCTATAAAAATGAAATGAAAGCGATGTATTGATAACATGCCTGATAGAAGGTAGAAACCATATGCAGTAAATGACATTTTACTGCATCAAATTTCTAAATGAGAAAATCAGTTTACCTCCACCACCAGCCCTTCTGTCGGTGGAGGACTCGGGTCCATGTATGGGAACATTCCCTACGTTTTCTCCCTTCATGAAGCTACAATAAAACGATCTCGATTAAAGTATAACACTCCAAGATAAAGCATTGTTATCAATCAATATCCTTCGTTTTTCACATGGAACATAGATTTAAAAGCAATCGTATAAAAAATATTTAGTCAAAACAATTATCTCAAAACTTGACTAACAAACATTGCAACTTTATGATATTCTTTCACAATGCATATATAAGCATATATATATATTTACAAAAAACTCAATTGAATAAATTATCAGTTGAACCAAATAATCAATTGAAATGCATCACACATCTAGGAAAATAAAAAATCAAAATGTAGATGTTGATGCGTACGTTTACCGAACAGTTGAATCAATTTCAAAATTATCATATATCTGATAGTATAGGTACAGAGTAAAGTACGTGTACATGTTCTGAACTGTGCCACTATTAGAATGAATTTGAACATTTTATGCAGGTTACGGAAACCTTGTCTACCTCTCAGAAAACAACCAGAGAATACAAACTTGTCGACATAATCATAATCAAAACTCAAATTCAGTACAACTATGGCAAAATATGAACAAAAGAAATAATTACATGGAGACTCATGCAAAAGTACAAGGAGAATAACAACAAGTGTTACAGAAGAGCAGGCATCTTCTGCTTCATCGTCGATACCCGCCACATAATTCCTGGTCAATCCAAGTAATTTATGTCACATTCTTAAATTAAAACAAGGTATACAACAATGGAACCAACGAGCATCAAACACATCAATTCTCAGATCACACAAAAGAAATAGAATATTTCCTATGGAGATCACTATGACGTGCATAAAACTGACCCATAGTTTTTATCACCCTGCATCTTTTGAAATCCTGTGTTACGGGTTTGTCCGTCAGTTGACGACTTCTAGTACGAGACCGAAATAATGGGAATTTCGACTCAATTGCGACTAGTGAACACCATAGGTTAGTGATGCAGGCATGTTGTAATCCAGTAATGGGAAATTTACATTTATCATATATCTCGGTGAAAATCTTTCCATACTGGTTTCGTAGTAGGAACAGATCGCGATGAGGGTCTGATGTAGACGAGTGTCTGCCGTGTCTTTAATTTCCAATACGAGTGGTATGAAAACAAAAACAAGTAAACAAATAAAGGACAACCGTTAGATTCATAGGTATCTCAATAGTCTGTTTGGATATCTTGCCATTAAACTCGAGTATGATGTTGTAACCAGAAGCTCATTTAAAGATTTCGTCCTTCGTATGTTGTTTATTTGACTTGAACGTATTTTCACGAAGTACGCCTAAGTATAACCACAAACATATAAATGTTCCGCCATTCAACTTTCTTGGAAAAGAAAGCTCCCATAACAAGAGAACGAAGGCATGCTTACAATTTAGAATAGAATATAATGGCGTACAGAAAAGAAAAAATAGAAGAAATGTTTTCTAGAAGAGGGTGTTGAAGATTGTTTTTAAAAATCCAGATAATATCAATTCCACTTCTTGAGTAAACTGTATCACAATAAGACCGCAACCCAGATTTGGTAGTACCAAGAATAGTGGTTATTGGTTTTGACAAAGACTTGATTGAACAGCTATACGAGTCGCCAACAAATCGTGTAGGAATCCTATGTAGACGGGGGAGGTCCGTATCCTTATCATTAATAAGCAATCTAAATTATTGTAATACCAAATCATGATTGGTCAGTATTTCTTCGTTTGACAGATTACATACGATTTAAGTTGAATTTCCTTTGTTATCAAGCAAACCTAGTTCTTTTTTATTTTCAGGAAATGCAATTATGTTTGTAGACAAGGATCAAGTTATTGGACGCTTTATATACAAGCTCAATAACATACCTGTCATGTGAATCTTGAAGTGTGGATTTAACATCAGGAACGAGGAAAGCTGCTGTCCTGTGTTTTGTTTTGATTTTTGACTTCAAGCCGAAAATTATTTTTAAAATGATAAATTGAATAGATTAAACCCACTCCGAAAATGAATCAAACGCAACGTGTTCTCGTTTCACTCACTCTCTCGCATCATACTTAATGTTAGATTATGTATAATATTCTACCACAACGGTTGAGTAACTTACCGACATCTCTTGGAAATTCGGTAATGCACAGCGTACACCGAGTCACCTATTTGCCAGTTCGAATGGGATACATTGCAGCTGAAACAAATCACCTTATCTACCTCGCCACTGTAGTAAAACCCATACTTAGCCAACTTAATTGGCCATATAGGACAGTCCATCGGGAATGTTGAAAACGACTTCAGTCTTCCCCATTCGTACAGCATGCACTCGGTAAAACAAAGACTTATGACATTTAGTGCACTGATTGGCGCCTCGGTAATTCTATTTTCAAGTAAATCTGAACCTCGAATGGCTGTGTGGCTACGAACTTCGTCATCCATGTTTGGTAAACGATTGGAGGTCAATTCTTCAATTCTTAAAATCCCATGTAAAGGAAACGCTATTATCTGTAAGTTGGGGAAATATTGCGTGAATGAGATTGAAGCCCGCAATGCTGGAACGAGTGAAAAATTTTTCATCAACGTATTTCCCATAAGATAATTTCTGACACAGAATGCATCTATGTCAGACTTTCGGATTTTTGGTCTTGCTCTCAAGGAAATGTTCCTATTTCTGGTTTTAATTTTCTTGTTGGTGTGTAGATTCATTGTGATGTCATTTGATTCCTGACCACAAGTGCCATGTGTGGAATCCAATGCCCTGTTAGATTTGGTACATTCTTTTTTTACGTCCGATCCCAAAACAAAAGAAAGGTTCAAGCTCATTTCGTTCATTCTTGCTTCATCATTTTGACTTTCTTGTTTTGTCTTATTAGATGTTGCATCCTTTGTGCTAATCGATGAGCTGATGAAATTCCCGCTGATATCATTAGCAGTCTCAAGGGTCTGTGTATCAGATCTATTACGTTCCTCTTTTATTCTAAAAGATGCTTCATAACATTCTTCCGATTTTTCGGTGTCAGCGGTTTCATCTATGTTTTTTGTATCATTTCTTCCGTAAGACATTTCTGTAATCCCTGTATGCCCTGATCTATTCATACTGCGATATTTCCCTTCTTTATTGATGCTGGATTTCGCTATATTTCCACTTAGTGAATTTGAATTGTAATTTTGTTGATGAATTATTCTAACGACTTTTTGTTCAGTTTCAACGTCTGTATTTTCTTTACAATCTTTATCACTGTGTCTTGTTTCAGTTGCTTCGTTTATGTGAATTATTGCATTACTGCTATCGGATTCTCTTTTAAGTTCAGTTTCAAACTTTTTATGCAATTTTTCTTTTGATGGATCGATTTTGATATCTTGAGGGAATACTCCTGGATTAATTACTTTTGATTCCGTTATTGCATATGTTGAATGCGATTCGTTTTCACAAACATTTTCATTAACTTGATTATATTTCGGTCTCGTGGGTTGCAGTAAATGAAATCTTCCATTCTAAAGTAAAAATAAAAAATACCTCGTTCAGCAACAAAGTGACTCGATCACTTCATTGGTATGTAAAGAATACACAAAAATGATTTTCATTGAACTTGATTTGCCAGGATGATGAAATCAGAGGACTTTTGGGTCTTATTGGTAGTCAAGCAATAACTATTTCAAGACATGTTTTATCTGTTCGTAGTTGACTTTCAGAATTTGTTCTACCAAAATAAAAGAAATATTAACAATGCTATAATTTAATATCTTCATATGAATTCCAGTGAGCAATGTTGTGCCAGACTCTTTCCAACACTTCTATTTAACACATCAGGTGCACAAAATTCAAAATTATGATTTTTACATTATAGCAATGTAAATGGAGAAGAAAAAATTCTGATAGCCAGATTCGGTTTAAATTGCGTAGATAATTGGTATTGATTATGACTTACAAGTTTTATAAAACCAATGAGACTACTTTTCATGAACAATATGAAGGTAATTTAAATTTCCTTGATTGGTACTATACGTTACATTTTTGCTTATAAGATGCAAAACTCATTCTCCCCTAAAACTCACAAAATCTCTCCTAGAAGCCTAAATTATCATTCGTTACATATTTAACTTTTTAGAATCCAAATTTATTCAAAGTCGTACCATTTGCAAGGAAGGAATAGGTAATTATCGAGAAAAATGACGTATTTCACGTATTTGATCCCACTCTTTGCTAAAAGATATAATTAGATACGAATCAATTAAAATTTACCCCAACCCTAAGCCTTAAACGTGATCGTGGGCTTTTTCATACACAGATTTATTCATGCCTTTTTGTGTAGTATTCCCAGTTCTTGACTGGTGAACGTTCAATCTAAATCACGGTTCTTAACCAAGATGTTTTCATTTTCTCATTATGAAGTATATCTTTTTAAAGACTCGACATAAAATTCCTGAATAGCTTACCTTTTGATGATGTATCAGCGATGGAATTAGATATCCTATTATCCAAAGGATAAATACACCTACCAGGTATATCCAAACAACAGCTAATAAACTGAAAATGATAGTGTTACAACAATGATATTCCTGTGCACTTTTGCTTCGATCTTTTGAGAACATCATTATTCAAGTTTAAGTCATGAATTTGATATTGATATTGTATTTGCAATAAGATTGCTTGACTGTCCTCAGTTTAATATAAAATATACAATTAGTAAGTAGACATTAGAAGTTCTAACTTGGCAAAACTCGAATAAGATAGGAAACAATAAACACGCTTATATGACATGAATTCTGTTTAATGCGGGATTCTTTACTTTTACGTCAACAACGCGCCATTGCGAAGGAACATGTATGTATTTTTTCATCCATACCATTTAAATATCAAGCACGTATTAAATGTACAATTTTATAGCAATACACATACAAAATAGTATGGAAAAGGATACACATAATAAAGATTCTTGCAATGAAACATACCTGTTATCTTCTCTCTGTTGCCCCAAGCAATAAGTCCACTGGATAATAAGAATATAAATATCTGAGTAAGTATATGGTTCTGTATCTGTAACAATGGAATTTCATGTTTCAATTCATATGAAAATGTTTTCATATTATGTTTTGGTTGGATTACTTCACCTCGAACAGACCATATTTCGGCTTTTTATGTATGACACATGTTATTGTTTCAAAGACGTATAAGTCTGCTGTGCAGTTCAACGCTTATTTTCATATTTCGTACAGATGTTGCTGTATCACTCAAGTAGAATCACTAGGATCACTACGGTTAACCATCGCCGTTTTTATGCCTACACAAAGACCGCATTAGTTACATGCTGTGTGTCTTTTATGATAAACTAGAATCACATGTCTAGTTGTTATTTTATAACTCAGCTTTGTCGTGCAAATTTATATATAATCAAATGAGGAATGAAATCTGACACAGTTAATGGTGATAATTACACAGGCTTTCAAATTACTACGTACCATTTTCATCTTAATTTCCTCATAACTAAAAGCAGTTCCAGGTACTGTGAACGTATCCAACAGTATCTGATAGACATCAATGACTGAAAGATTATATAACAATAGAAATCTTCAAGTTAACGGTTAAATAACAACAGACATCTGCCTTTGAACCGTTATATTACAATAGGCATTAACAACTGGACGGTTATATTACATTACCTACCATTGAACAGTTATATTACAACAGACCTTTACCATTGAACGGGTAAATTACAACAGAAATCTACCATTAAACGGTTATATTACAACAACAAAGTTACCTTTGAATGATTCTATTACAACAGACCTTTATCATTGAACAGATATATTACAACAGACCTTTACCATTGCACAGTTATATTACAACATACCTTTACCATTGAACGGTGATATTACAACAGAAATCTACCATTGGACGGTTATATTACAACAAAAAAGTTACCTTTGAATGATTATATTACAGAAGACCTTTACCATTGAACGGTGATATTACAACAGACCTTCGCCATTGAACGGTTACATTAAGACAGAAATATACCATTTAACTATAATATTACAACATGCATCTGTCTTTGAAAGGTTATATTACAGTATACATATGCCTAGAACGATTGTATTAAAACCGAAATCAACAATTTAACTGTTATTATGCAACAGCAATATACCATATAACGGTTACATTTTAGCAGACATATACATTTTAACGGTTCAGCAATATATTTATATACCATCAAGTATATAATACGATATTACACATAGGTCCACAGGTTTTATAAGACATGGATTATAACTAGCATTGCCACAACCTCAGTCAAATGAAGCAATTAGTGTGTTAATAAGTTTTTTGTTTCTAAAAATACATATTATAGTACATGACTTTGACCCTAAGATCCTGCATCTGGCACTCTTCTTTTATAATATAGTTCTTAAAATGAGTGTGAAGTTTGATCGATGTCCCTCAAAGAATAAAGCAACTATAAAGCTGACTAAGATTTTATGACAATGATAGCAACTATTGCAATATCTCATAGTTGCCTTTTAAACGAAAGATAAACCTTTGTACCTTTAGTGTGTATTGGAAAACATATGAAGGAGTATGTCGAGATACACGAGTTACTTCACTTGTTTTTTGACAGTTCATTTTAATGACAGAACATATCGTTATAAAATTTAAAATTGACAGGGACGCGACCTATAAAAAATCAGTTATCGATCTATGTAAGTTATGGTACGCATCTGAAAACATGTTAATAGTTGCATATTATCTATGCTAGAAGTACATCAGCCACGTTTACAAAATGTACCTAGTATGTCTTTTCCATATGCAGTCTTATTGTTCGACGGCCGTACGTTCCACTCGTTCTACAAAAGAAACTATGAAATTATTACATGTTGAAAAAATCCATCATGCAATTTTTAGCTGTCCACTTATCACATTTTTCATTATTTAAAAAACTCAGAATTTTATTACCAGAAATAAGAAATATTACTAAGTGGTTTCATTTTGTCCTTGTTTGGATCCAGATAAAATGTTTAATTTTTTCGTATTTGATTCTTCTTTCGGATCATCATGCTTCAAATTCAAACATCAATTTCTAGCGTTCAAATCTACAAATATTTTATTTCATGCAAAAAAAATACTTAAGGGATTTTTTATATTTGTTCAAGCTGAGTGTCATGCCTCTGTGGTTTATACATATGGGCATAGTTTCTTCCCGAAAGTTATGACTCTTACGGAATACACTTTTTTCAAATCTTGATTTGGCTTTCATGATTTCTAAAATACAGACTTCAGTGTATGATGAATATATATATTAAGATCAATTATATATGATTATTCTGAGTTTCCAGACTGGGCCCCTGAAACATGTCGTGGCAAAATTGAAAGCACAAAAAAAAAAAAAAATTGAGTGGTTACAGAAGAAAAAAACCCCGACCAATCTTAAGCTGATACTCTCATTTTGAAGATTACAAAGGAGCACTACCGAATATCAAAGTCATTACAATATACCGTTATGCGACCTTTAGATTCGATTGATATGCATAAAAAATCAAACTAGACTTTCCGCCTTGTCCACAAGATGTCGCCAATGAAGCCTTAAATTCTGTAATGAAATGTCCCAGGGGTGCAGAGAGCGGAAGCCCCCTTTAACCCCTAGAATATGGTGCATCACGAAATATACACCCCTCACTTACAGGAAATTAAATAACAGTACTGGATAGATTACGGGTATACGTGGAGTTGATTCTCCTAAATGATACATTTCCAAACTAATGTAGGTAAACTTTTAAAGGAAGTGAATAAAATTACTACTCCTTCAAGATTCCAATGCTGACTTGCAACCTCTGACAGGGATTTTTACCAAAATTTCAGTGAAGTAACTAACGTTAACAATGCCGAATTGTTCGTGACGCTAATAATGTATGAACAACGTCAATAACCGTAGATAACTTTCATCGGGGTCATTCATACACATATATTGCAGCCTTCTCTAAACTCTTTCATGAACACTTATGTACATGACTACATATACCATAGTCACAAAACTGTTGTAAACAGCATATATTTTCTATTTCCACAT